CCATTAATTGAGTATTATGCTGTTCAATTATTACCATATGGAGGTTATTTATTAAGTGGAATAGGAAGTGTTGATAATATAACTATAGTTTATGGTTATGTTTTTAATGATGATGGTGAAGTTTATTCTTGGAATCTTCCAAATATTGTCGAGTCAAACTTTAAAGCTGTTAAAACTATTCTGAGAAATAATACTTTTGTGCTTGCTCAAGTCGGAAAAAAGCCAAGATGGGCTTTGATCACCACGGAATTACATAAATTTAATGAGGATCGAGGTAAGTGACTTTTAGAAAATTTCAATTATTGAAAACATTGTAACATTTAATTTTAATATTCTAGATCATGGATATAATAATTTCCATATCTCTTCCACGAATCCAAGTATTGATGACATGATTCCATCTGATTTAGAGTTCCTCAATATTAAATATTATAATAAAGTTGAATTATCAAACGGTAACATTACAATTTTTCAAGACGATGGTAATATACGTCAAACCACTTCGGGAATCAACGGCAGATATGTATCTTATGGTGATGATACTACTATTAATGTTGCAATACTTAAATCCACATTCAATCAGCCTGGCAGAAGATACTATGTTTCAATTAATGATGAATTTGTAAAAGACAAAATTTACCAAGAGCCTCTCTATGGTGTAAAAGACCATGTATGGTCTTTTACTATAACACGTAAGATTTTATTTCCTCTATTTCCGAATTTAAACTATTACTTTAAGAATACACTTAACGTTAATCCTTTTCAAAATAGAAACTGAAACTGAAATAAGTTCAGATGGCGTTATGGGACAAGTTTGATTGACTCCAGAGGGAACTTCTTATTTTCTTTATGAAGCCGATTGCAAAACTTTTCTTATGAAACTAAAACAAGAATTAGCTGATGCAATTCCCGTCAGCCCTAATCGCATAACTACCAATGAAGGATTTGAAATCGATACTTCAGTTTCTCAAAAACAAATCTTTTTATCCATTGACATTAAAAAAAATGAAACTGAGCAAGGAAGATCAGTTAGTTTGGTAATTAAGGATTTAGATAGTTTGATTAAGAATAAACCTATCACTGTTATCGCCTCAGGTGAATCAACCAGTTATTCAGATGAGGATTATGGATATAAAACTCTCCGTAAGTATTCAATTTTTAAATTATCATATAATAGTCTCAGGTATGGAGATTCTTTCAAATAAAGCTAAAAATATTTATTACTTTAAATCCTGAACATAAAATAGCCAATTGGCGGAAAACTTATGGATTAGCTCTCATTGGAGTACTTGTAATCACATTAGTATTGATTGGATTTTTCTTTTACGCCAAACGGAAAAATGCTGACGTAAATATCATGAATTTTATATTCGATTGAAAAATTTAAAAATTTAACCAGAAAACGTTGAAAGGATCAATTTCCTTATTTACAAATAACCCTTTATTGATATTTAGGCAAAACTACTGTAATATTTCAACTTGGTATCATCATTTTTGATGTTATTTTGGATATTACTTTTATTATTACAAAAGCAAAAAATATTGAGGGATTATACATCTCAAGGTAAAAATGTATGCAGCTAAATATAAATGAAATAAAATATATTTACGATAATATATTTTTTTAGCATTGTATTTTCAATAGGTCCATTTATCTTAAGTGTAATTCTTGTTTGAAGATATCCCTCAATTAGTTATTCAGGTATTTAGTTATTATATTATTATCATTATTTTATTTTAATTAACTATTAATTCAAAAAAAACCCCAATAGATCATATATTTTAGAAATGTGGTATATTACGATGCAATACCTTTATTAACCCTTATGTCGTCCTGTTTATGTATACTTAGTAACATAGTTGGAAGATTATACAGATTTAAAGATCATGAAGGAATATTATATAAAAGTGCAGAAATTGATGAAAATTTAATGAAACAAGTGCTATAATATTTGATGATAATGTTTCACGGTTTGTTTGTATAATGGCATTTTTTGTTTGATAGAAAAAATTAATTTTTAGATGACTTAAAAGGAAAATTTACTTCTTTTAAACGTAATATAATTTATTACAATGTTTGAAGTAATAAATGCAAAGTCAGATCAATTTTCAAATATTATATCTATATTAACTATGTTAATATCTATGAATTCAAAACCCGAAATTAATTAAACCTTTTTAAAGAAATTAAAATTAATTTTGGCAAGTAAAAATATATTAAAGGTTAATTACTATATTTAATAAAATTAAAAAAAAAAAAAACTTTTATAATATAATCTTCCTAACGCTACGCTAAGAGACAATTTACTAATTTCACCTCAAGTACTGTCTATATATGACAGAAATTAAAAGATGAATCATGAGAATTGAGATTTGTTAACTTGTCACATGATATATTATTACGTAAAAAGAATTTTTTTTTTTTTGACCGGTGTTAGCCGCAGTTTATACTGTGCCTTAAAAAGATCTTCAACTGCGCCAAATATTATACATGTAATACATGTATCGTTTAGTCATCTTTATATTACATGTATCGAATAGTTTACCTTTTAATATAAATATTATATAGTCTATTTTTCATCATTTATATTATTTTCATCATATGTACTTATTAAAAGGCGTAGTATAGTATTAATTAACAATTTTATATAAATAGACCTGTAAGTTGACCTTGAGTCAACAGAGTTCGATCAGATAGTTTTCTGAATAAGTCTTGGGACTAGACTTATAACTCTACAGTTTAATAAAGTTACTATTTTACACTTTCAACCTTCTTCTTGTCTTCATCATAGGATTGATCGTGATAACCTACTACATAAGTGAATCGTGATAATAAATTGTTTTATTTGTTTATCGTTAATTTCTCTTAGGAAAGACCTTTGAGATAATTGTGTTATTAAGTTTATTGATTTCGTTAGCTTGGTTTGAGACGATTCCAGGTCTAACACCGGACGCGGTAGTCGATCCCAACCGCGATCCCACCCTAATCACACTCATCCCGACGCCATAGCACATTTTGTGGCCGACTTGATCAACTTAAAAATAATTTCATCTTGGGGTGAACAAATAAAATATGATCACGTGTTCGCGCACACGAAAAACCACGAGAAATATCTATATAAATAATATAAGAAAGGAAGAGGAGATCGGGCAATACTTGAAAAAGTTCAAAATCGTTATTAACGAATTTATAAAATCTAAAAAAAGAAACAAAATAACTTATTAATGAAGATCGAAATACATGTACTGTATATACTGAACAAATAAAAAACTCGAAAAAGAAATATATTCACTTAATTTGAAGCTTTATACATCCACATACACACAGTCACAATCATCACAACCGCAACAATCATTTTCACTTCCATATGCATCGCAACCGACGCAGCCGCAATTCAAAATTACTTTAAATACAAAGGAACAAAAAGAATAAGAAATATTATTATATTTTATTTTTTTTATTTAATTATTTTTTTTTTTATAGAATTTTGAAATAGAAAATCAACCAAAAATGATTGATACGAACCGTAATAATTGAAGACTTTGTTCTTTTTGTTTGGTTTAAATAAAAAAATTTCATTATTTTATATGCTGGTTCGATTATAAATAGTATCAATAATAATAAAAAATTAAATCAAAGACCAATTGAGATTAAATATCAAAGTTCGAATTAAAATGAAGCCCCAAATCAAAATTAAAATCAAATTCTAAATAGAAGGAAAAATAAATCAAAGGCTCAAGCGAAACGTTTAAGCTCAGATGAAAAGTCTAACAAAGTCAAATATAAAAAATACTCAATAACATAAATGATAATAATCAAAGAATAAAGGTCAAACGAAAGTAAATATAAAGGACCTAACTAAATTAAAAAAAAATTATTGATATAAATGATTCAAGAATAAATATTTAATGAAATTATATATAAAAATTGAATAAATCGATGTTAATAATAATCAAATAAATTAAACCAAAAATAAGAAATAATAAATCGAAGCAAGAAAATGAAATTACCTCAAGTAAAGTCCGTCAATTCTAAATCGAACTTCGTAAAAGAAAATTAAATTGGAATTTGCGACTTCACGTTTCAAAATCCAACCCGATGCGAAAAATCGATAAATAAATAAATAATTCCTTTTTTATTCACCTCAAGTTATATAATTCCAGCACTTCTCAAGCTTTTCAGCTACACGTTACTTTATTACTCTTTATATTTCAAGTAAAAATAATTAATAAAATAATGTAAATAAATAGATTTCATATATGGGTAGGTTGATTGCTAGAAAAATCAGGTTCCGGGAATTTTTTAACAAAATTGGATTAAAATGCTTCTTAAAAATTTCACGGAACCTGATTTTCCTAGAAATCCTGTATATGTTCATTAATAATTTCTAAAACTAAATTAAATCAAAATAAAAAAAATACCAACAATTTAAAATATTAATAATCATTAATGAATTTAATAATAATGTAGTACAATAAATAAATTGTTTGTTAATCATGACGCAATTCTAATTTTGTGGTTGGAAAAACAGGTTTTAATCACAAGAAATGTTCAAACCAAAAAAATTCTCACGAAAAAATTTTCTTTTATTTTTATTAAACCTATGTCCTTTTCAACTTACTCTTGATCACTGTTGTCAGGCAGTAAAGGCTTACAGATGGTTTCGGCCGTTGTAACGCTTGGGGCTTCAATTTGTAAGTGCAAAATAGTCTTTAAATTTGAAGGTTCCTTTAGCAACTCCTCTTACTGAAGTATATTAAATTATAAAAAATGGAAAAATACAGTAAAATCACATTAATTTTGTGACTCGGCAACAAGTTAGCGCGTCTATTCTTTCTTGAACGATACAAATATTCGAAAGGTAAATTTCAACCTTACAAATTTTAACTTCTTTTTAAATTTTTACAAATTTTTTATTTAACTACTTTTTTTAAAATTTTTACAGATTTTTTTTAAAATATTTAACTTTTTTTCAAATATTTTTATACATATTACAAACATGTGCGCCGTCAACGCTCACTCTGTTTCGGTCGAAAGAATCCCATATAAAGTATATTTTGAATTTGTTCCTTATGAAAAGTGGTCACTACATAGTTATATAACTTTATTAGTTGATAACTATGAAAACGTTGATAAAATGGATGCTCATTATGCCTTTTATAAAAACCTAAGTTCAATTCTTGACGATGAAAAAATGTCTCAAGAAGTTCGCAATATTGCCCAGAATCTCCTGAAAAGCAAAAAAGTAAGTATAATATGCATATGATTATAGTCAGATGAGGCTTAGCCAGGTCCTTTCTTGTACCTTTTAAATTCATTTTAATGGGAGTGAAACACTTATCTTATCCTTACAAGTTAGTGATTATATATTCCCTGCATCCAGCCATTCATCTTACTTAATTTTTTTTTATCTGATTATTCTTTTGTGAATTATTTTCTCATTCAATTTTCTTATATAACCGATGTACTTAATTTAATAGCTTCTGGAACACTTTCGTCACCAACATCGTCATCGTCCCATAAAGGAAAGAAGAGAAAGTTTAAAGATGGTAATGGGTGGTCAGCGGTCGTTCAAAAACCTTTAACTGATGTAATTTAGCTTATTATTAATGTTAATTATTATTTTTATACTATAATATCGAATTAGAATAGAATTTATTTATATAATTTATAGCTGAGCTACTTTTTTTTTATATTTATGCAGCTTTTTTGTTCTAAATATTGAGATTTTACTTTAAGTTGGGAAAGCAATGATCATTTAGTAAAAGATTGCGAGAAAACAACCACCATAGGAAAATTAAATTTATTATTATTTTTTTTTTTAAATACTGGGAAGAATTTCGGTGGAAATTCTTCAACTCAAGGGAAAATACAAGATATTTATATAAAATAAAATAATATAAAATCAACTATAACAAATATAACAAAGAGAATAAATAATATAACTATGATAAATATAATATATATAATAAATAAGATATAATTAATAAATATGATAAATATAATTCATATATCTAATATGTCCACTTGATCAACGTTGACAACTTTAGCAACTTTGTCAACGTCGTCAACTTCATCAACTATGTCGATCATTTAGATCACATGACTTTATTTTAGCGCAGTCACGGATCACGGCTTCAATGTTTGTATATTTGTATTTAATTTACTTTGTTTTTTATGATTTCATAGCAAATTGGATAATAATATATTCTTTTTTGAATGATCAATAAAAGATAATTTTTTTTTTGGTTTTTTATTTTTTCTGTTATTTATTTATTTTTTCTTGATTATCAACGCTAACTCAATTTTCAGAAATAACTCTATTGTTTTACTTTCAGGTTTAACACGAACGGTTTCATCATGACCTTACAACTTTTCGATCTATGTGGACAAACAAGCCAATTTGATGGTAATCAAGAAATTAGAAAGGTGAGTTTTTGTTTTTTGATTCCTTAGCTTTGTTTCATTATAAGGCGAACGAACAGTATTATGTAGGATGTGCTGGGCTTCCAAGCTGTATATGATAATTCTGATAGTCTACTAAATAGAGTAGTGCAGATTTATATTTTCATGCTTGCAAAAGCTGAGAAACACCCGTCTCGAGTGAATTCCTCTCCCTTAACGAATACTAAATTAGTAAAAAACCTATTGTTTAACTTTCAGGTTTAGGACGAACGGTTCCTTCACGATGATTACTCCTTATCGATCAATTACGGTCTAACTGGAATTATAATCAATAACAAACAAAGTCTAATCTCATAGGTTATAAATTAAGTCTAACTTTGTAAAGGTTAGATTTAGCTATTATTAGATTACAATTTCTTTCAATTAGTTCAGATTATATTAATATTAATATTTTTTATATTTTATTTTATATTATTTTTTTTTTACATTATAGACTACAATTTTTATTATGATTTCCTTTTTTAAATATTTTTTAAGAATGAAATAATGCTTTTATTCTTAAAGAAATAACTTTCACAATGTCTATATATTGCAGAGATTTAATTATGATTAAACTTTATGCTGATACTTAGAATACAATAAATTAAAAAATGTGAAAGCTTATCATATCCTTTCTTTTTAAAAGAAACTTGAACTTTAAAATGTTATATAAAGGTTAAAGATTTAAGTAATAGTACAGGAGTTATTCAATTTAGCAAGATAGTTATTAAGACGTGTAGGTTTTAAAAATTCAAGATGTACACTTATTAAGGAATCGGGTAAATTTGGTAAGCTAGTTATGTTAGTATTATCGCAATTGAGTATTTCTAAGGAGTTGGGTAAAGTTGGTAAGCTATTTATTTTAGTGCTAGAACACCAGAGTATTTTTAAAGAGTTGGGTAAAGTTTGTAGAATAGTAATTTTAGTATAAGAACAATCAATATTTTTTAAGGAATTGGGTAAAGTTGGCAGGATAGTTATTGGAATATAAGAGCAAGAAAGTTCCATTAAATAGTTGGGTAAATTTGGTAAGCTATTTAATTTAGTCCTACTACACCTGAGTACCATTAAAGAATTGGGTAAAGTTGGTAGGATAGTTATTTGAGTACCAGGGCAATGGAGTTCTTTTAAGGAGTTAGGTAATGTTAGTAAGATAGTTATTTGTATACCAGAGCAATTAAGTTCCGTTAAGTTGGGTAAAATTGGTAAATTAGTTATTTCAGTATGAGCGCAATCAAGTATTTTTAAGGATTTTGGTAATGTTGGTAGGATATTTATTGGGGTATATTAGAGCAACCAAGTATTTTTAAGGAGTTGGGTAATGTTGGCAGAACAGTTATTTGAGTATCAAAGCAATGAAGAGTCGTTAAGGAATTGGGTAAATTCGGTAAGCTATTTAATTTAGTACTATAATACTTGAGTACAGTTAAGGCGTTGGGTAAAGTTGGTAAGCTTTTTAGATGAGTTTTATAGCAATTAAGTTCCGTTATGGAGTTGGGTAAAGTTGGCAGGATAGTTATTGGAGTATAAGTGCAAGTAAGTTCCTTTAAGGAGTTGGGTAATGAAGGTAAGCTATTTATATTAGTGAAATTGCAAAAGAGTTTAGTTGATTTTCGATATCTTTGTAATCCTCCTAAGGTATTAAATATGTAATCCTTATTAGATTCTGTAATTGTTACAATAATATCATCATCTAATACTTCAATATTTGATTCTATTTCTTCTACATTCTCCTGAATATCCAAATGATAGATAATTTCAGAATTATTTGACACATAATTATTCATGTGACTATTTTCTCCAGATTTTTGTTTTTTTTGACTCCAATTTGCAATTTGACTTGATGAATAATTAATTTTAATATCAATTTTATCTGATTGAACAGATAGTTGATTCTGTGAAACTTTCTCACTTTATTTTGAAGAAATAATGGATTTAAGGGATAAAACCACTTCCTGTATACTTGGTCGGTCATCTGGTTCATATTTCCAACATTCTAATTAAATTAATAAACTTAGATTATAATTCCTTTTTTTTTTTTTTTAAAAAAAAAAAAAAAATGAAATTACTTACGTTCATATAAATTACTATATTTAATAGGAGTTCCACTGATGATTGTTTCTCTTTCTTTATCAAGTTTTCTTAAGGTCAATAGTTTCACATCATAATCAGTATCTTCATCACAAAATGGTCTTTTACCACTTGAAATTTGCCACATCAAAACTCTGACACTATAGACATCAGATTTATGATTTAATTTGTATCTCTTATTTTCTCGATAATTTAAACTTTTCGGATCTATATATGGTAATACACCCATTAGCTTTGGTTCATTACTTGACTCGTCAGTGAGCTTTCTTGATAAACCAAAAGTCTTCTAATTTAATTGAATTCTGATATATGAGTATATTATTTGCATGCTAATTTACATTAAATATTAGTTAATAAAAGAATGATAATAAGATAAACAAACATTTTACAAAAGTTGATTGTTTACCAGATCACGATAGACAATATCATGATAATGCATAAATTCTACAGCACTCGCCAGTTGAAAAACTAGCTGAAATTTGTCATACCAATCAAGTTCTTTGAAATGCTCTTTTAAATATGTATTCAGAGTGCCGCTATCAGCATATTCCAAGACTAAAGAGTGTTTTTTCTTTGTATTTTCTTATAAATTAAGAGTATTAATCATATTAAAAATTTTTACATTATTTTATATTTCTAAAACTTACCGGTTAATTCGCTTGTGATTCCAAATATTTGAATGTAAATCAACTTCTTTATGTAATTTTATCTGTATGGTATTTAGAACAAATTTATTTTACCTGAATAATCAATCTTAAATAATTATAATATATATTTGTACCTCTTTTACAATATTCTTCAATGTCGTTTTATCATTATTAAAAGATTTCAAAGTGACGTAATAGCCCTGCTTTTTCCAATAAGCATGCATAACTTCTCCAAATGTCCCTTTTCCTATTAGTTGAAGAACTTGAAATTCCGAATATTCAAAATGATTGATATGTTTATTAGCAATTGAATTTTCTAACTATTCAATATATTCTTTATAATTCGACATTTTTTCTAAATGTTAAAAAAAAAAAATTTTAAAGTTCTGAGTTTATAATTTTGGACAAGGAGAACAAAACAATAATGCAAGACGCGCATCGAAATTTGTTAGTTTTATTGGCTAAAAGTGATTTCACATGATTCGACATCCATTTGTATTTCATAAAACTTCAGCTCTGAAATATTATTAGCTCCATTTTATTTACTAACGCTAATGAGCTTGCGTTATTAAGTATAAATAAGAAAAAAAAATGAATCTGTTGTAACCCAAATGTGTTGATATCCGAAATGTGCATTTTGGATATTAACGCATTTGAGTTACAACAAATAAGACATTATTTGATCACTGCGCTGCATTGGTCGAACCTAAAACTAAAAAAAAATCAAATATATTTTTTTTTTTGGTAAACAAAAAAAATAAATTTTTCCGTATTCACTTATGATCAAAAAAAAATCATTGTGCTAGAATTATGGATTAATTAACCGAAACCGAAGTTAAATCTTAGAATCGAATCTAGATAAACGATTAATCGATAAAATCGATTCAATTTTTTTTGAATAGTTTGAAATCCCTACCCATGTCATTGATGAGAATATAAATATTTTTATTTATGTCGGCATTAAGTAAGTTTATAGTAAATTTATACATTTGGTTTAGAAGGAATATTCATCTATTTTTACTAGAGAAATAGTTACATCTGAATTTAAAGTATTATATATTATTTAAACAAAAGTAATAAAAGTAAGATGTAAAGTAATTAACTTTACGTAATATTTGTAAAAGAAGAATATGGAATAGATTTTAATGTATTTAACCTGAACAAGAATTTAATGTAAGATAAATCTAATGAGTATATGCTGGCAACAAAATGGGAAGTTTGCTAATAAAATCACGCTGATCATAATATTTACTATGTTCATAACTCGATTTTAATATAGCAAAACTCGCAAATGTTAATATGATAAGTGAAGTTCAAATATTGCGTTTAAGAATATCTCTGACAAAGAGGATTGCAAGTTTAAAGAATATCAAATATCAAAAATTTTACTTATAATCGAAGTAAAGCATATAGCATTAACTTATTCATGTAATTTGAGTCACATCCTACAATTTCATCATGTGGTGATATCTGATCTTTAGTGTAACTCTTATTGGTCACTGGACTAAGTCCAGTTCAAAAAAACTTAATTGGACTGGAAATA